GGAGGGGGTAATAATTTTTAAATGTCGCAATGTGATTCGCTTGCCCCGTAGCTGTCCGTGATTTGATTAGCTCTGTAGCTACCAGTAAGCTGATTGGCCGGAACAATTGGGGAAGGGGAAATGAAGGTAAAAATTGGTAATGTAAAGGGGGTAAACCCGTCAGCAATGATACCATATGCATACATTTATGGCAAGCTGAGATTCGTTTCCGGCATACGCAGAGGAGCCAGGATAGGCTGCAGGCAACGCGTGCAGAAGTATGAGCTTACGTGATTTACGTTAAGCTTCGGCCAGTTTCGATAAAAAAACGCAGACATACGATTTGCTGTCTTTTTATCTTTTGTAAACTATATTGAATACTGACAGTAATAGAATTTCGAGTTGTCATGATGCGATTACGCACGATGTTATTACAGATTTATTTTTATTACTTTTATTATTTTTTGTACATTATACATTATACAAGCTTTAACATAATAATAATAATTGTGATAAATATTGATTGATAATTTATCTAACAAAATTTACTTTGTTAGATAAATAAATATATAATTAATTAAAATATTGGTAAAGGCTCAATAAATTAAACTTAAATACATATAAGAGGCTATGAGCCGAAACTAAGATATATTTTCGCTCCAAATCGTTACTAAAATATACAATTATAAAATATGTCCTTGTATGTCCTTATTACATTCTTTCATTTGTCTTTGTATTTAATAAAAGAAACTAATAGTAATAATAAATAAACAAAAAAATTATTTTTGCATCTTTTTTTAAAAGTCAATTAGTTTAAAAGAGAAAAAAATTTACCTATATAATAATATCTTTAAATTTATATGTACATATACACCTATATATGTATAATAGATACGTGTATATTTTATTATCTTTATAGTACATTGGTTTAATATAAAGAAAATTCATTTTAAAATTTTAGTAAGTCAAAAATTAAAACACTATTTCACGACAGAATAATTTTTTATTTTTAAAACTGAGCTACTATTATTATAGTAAATAGTAGCTACAATGTATTCTCATTAAAGAGTGTATAAATATTCCGCTGATACTGTTATTAATTTTAATATATTTATTATGATTATGTATGTTTATTATTTTTAAAATTTTTTCCCAGATTTATTTATTCTTTCGTTTTTATTTCTAATCATTAGAAATCAAGTATACGTTAGAGATCCAGTAAACCCCACTCATCATACAGTGGAATTTTCTTTATCATGAATTTCTTAAAATCCTCGCTTTTCAAGCCTGGATTAATCCAAGTACCAGTGCTCATCATTTCATCTAAATCTTTCGCTTCAGTCTTAGAGCACAGCATTAATGGCAAAACAGTGAAGGATGATACCATTTCAAAGCTGGCTCTTCGCTTCATGGTATCCTTCAATTCCTCCATTGTGGGCGGCTTTGTCTTGCAGTTTAGTTGCTTCATAGTCGTCGACAAGGTGCCAAAGTATTCGTTTAATAAAATATCTCTGTTGTTCTCAATGGTATCCAACGAAAGACTTGTATTGAGAAAATATAGAAGATCGATTGCCGGTGATGTGTAGATGCAGGCTTGGAAGTCCAGCTATAAAATCAAATGAGCATGTTTAATCTATCGATCTCTTGAAATCTTCGAAAAGTAAATTGGAAATGAAATCCATGCACCGGAAAAGAAGTGGAACGCGTGTTTAAGAAATCAAATCAAATAAGAAAGTTGAGAGTTTGTCAGAACGACACGGAGGGACAGGTAGCGGATATACTTTAAACATTGCGAACGAATTGGATTTATTACATTATTTATGTTTTTTAAAATAGATAAAAAAGCGTCAAGTATATTAGGCACGTTTATCGATTAAATTGTAAGTTAAAGAATAATACTTAAGTAGTACATATCTTTGTATTTCTATTGGATCTTCCTATTCCAACTGAAATAATTGTAACTTTAATTCCTTTTAAAAAAAGATTATAATACCACAAAATTACTAAATTCAAGTGATATGTATTATTCGTATGTATAAATAATATAATTTTACGTTTAAAATACTTTAGTGGAAATCGGCGCGATAGTTATTGCCCAATAACTATAACAATAACTTTAAAGAAAAAATTGATTTCAGTAAACCATATATTTTAGGCGGTTTGATTTCAAGATAATTGATGCCAAGTATAATGCAATCACATAAAAATCGCATAGTATATATGCAATATTCTGACAAACGTTCTCATAAAAAACACTTAAACATTATATGTATATTACACAATAAAAAGAAAATATAATTATAAATAATTAAAGAAATATCAATTAAAAATGAATCGGACTTTTAAATTAATACAACAATAAACATAAATCAAATTTAGACTAATACGAGTTTCGCGCCGTTGTTAGTGCATAAATTCTTCAATTTATTTTAATTTCCGTTACATTTGATTCCCTCGTGAATATTTCGGTTAGAATAACCATTTTCGGCTTTATGTAAATTATTTTCGGCGCTTAAATAAAGATATATATAAAAATTATGCTCCACAGGAATGAGTATACTTTCAATTATAATTATAGTTCACATACAAATATATTTTTAGTAATAATTTGTTGTGAAAATAATATATTAATAAATATTTTTTTAGCACCACATAAATCGTGTAAATCAAATAACATGTACTTATAAATTAGATTTTACGAATGATTTACATTTTTATTCAATCTTAATTAATATTAATTGCAATATAAAGCAGCAATAACAATGAATACTCGTACTTATAAGAAGTTGTATGATTTTTTTCTAATGTGATGGTACGTGACTTTATAACGTACTTACAAAAATATGATCAGTAGGGTTGCCATCATTGTCATATTTAAACAACATATTCTTCATGTGACAATCGCCGTGATTAATAACATTAAATTCATTCTCAGAGAGCTTGGTTGCATCTATGCCTATTTGATACATATGATCAGAGAGTTTAGCAATCTTCTCCGAGTATCTAGCAATAAAAATTACATAAACATAAATTTGTATAGATAATAAACCATATAGATATTTATTCGAAACAGAGAAATTTGTACTTATATTTGCTATTTTCTGTTTAATATGTTCAATCTTTTCATAATAAACATTTATTTATACGTGTTTTATAATTAAATTTATTTTAGATTATTTTGATTTAGACAGAGTAGAACAAAAAATGTCGTTTATACTATATACAAAACTTACTTTTTCACTTCTGGCCAGGTTATAATCTCCTCTGATAAAGCTTTAGTACCGTTATTGAAAAAATCTCTCTCTTCTGATGGATTCTGGTTGTTAAATGATCCTCTCGAATACATCTTCTTTTGCTTTGGTTCCTAAAATATTAAAATGTTTTTATTCAAGGACATTGATCTTTATGCATTTGATTAAATATATTATATAGTTAAGTAATAATTAATAATAAAATTGTACTACGGACTGACAATTTAGAATACAATATACAAGATAAAGGCTACACAAAAATGAAAAAACTAAAAACCAATAATTTTATTTCAACTTTAAATAATTAAATAATTGCATTAATTTTAAATTATAAAATGTAAAAGTAAAAGTATCGATTGTTTATAATTAATTTGGCATATACATATATATACTTTTATGTTCGAGACTATTAATATATAATAATTTCGTAGCGAGAGAGTTACAGAGGAACTTTTATAGATCCAGATGATATTGGGCCTTTCATCCAGGATCACCCGCATAACGACTATCTATTATTATATCATATATGTACATATCATTATATACATATATATACCTACAGTCACGAAACTGATTATTACCCGGACGATGCGTTAATATATTGATTTCTCCAAACTGTTCAAGTGTTACTTATATTAGACGATTTATATTATATAGCAGAGTAGTAAAATAATTAAAATTGTAACTATTTTAAAATATTTTCAATTAGTGTTTATTATATAAAATTATAAACCTTTTCAAATACTACGTATCATGTTTTTATTAGATATCGTTGAATCATATAGCACAAGAATAATCTTGTTGCAATGCAATGTTTATACCATGCAATCAAAGTGGGCTGATCCACATAAACCTATTATATTCGACCCTAAGAGTTTACATTATTGCGAATGTATGGTCCTTGAATTTGTGTCATTGACCTGAATTTTGTATAATTACAATAAAATAATACAATTGAGACGTGATGATTTACCTTTTCGCATACGGCTACAGAGGCTGCATGAAACCTGGCCAATCCGCGAAGCACCAATATGGAATGAGCTAAGTCGAGACCAGACAGATCGGTCATGCGAAAGCCGAGAGGCATGAGATCTTCGATCGCCAAAAGCGATGGATTTTCATTTTGCATGTACAGACCTTTCCCGCTTAAACGGTGCTTTGGCCCTAACAACTTATTCATTTTATCCAAGGTATCTAACATCATCGATGTCTCGGTATGAAAGAAACCTGATTGTGAGACCTGTAACAAGTTTATTTAATTATGATATAAAGGTTTATAAAACAAAAAGAACGTGTGTGTGATAGAAAGTTTCGGCTTATCAGATGGCAAATAAATAATAATTTTATCCGCAATTAAAATTCGTCTTGAAACGACT